GATTATCACAATAAATATAATAATGAGAAAATTTGAAATGTTGTCAGAATTACCAAAATGTAACAGAGACACAAAGGGAGCAAACGCTGTCAGAAAGGTGGCCTTGACAGACTTGCTCGAGACAGGGTCAAAGCTTGAGACGCCTACTAACTATAAGCAAAATACACTGCAAAACACAGTAAAGCAAAGTGCAATAAAACAAGATATGCCTTCATATACAAACACTTCTACAACAGTATTTTTTAAATGGAATAAAACATTCAGATCTACCTTAGAGAGGATAAATAATCTTCACATACAATACCTTTGCCTTTGGCATTCCACATGTGGGGCTTTTTATGCCAAACCTTCTTCCACTAACTCTAAGCATAATCATCTATTGTTTTCTCCATTGTAAGGCTTTTAAATGTTAAAGTAGAAAAAGGCACCACTTTTTTGACATCATAATAGCATGTCTTACTTGGCCGTTTTTCTTTTTCAAAAAAGAAACCACCACAATCTACACTGAAAAATATTTTCAATCACATGTATGTGCTAGCTTCTGTTCCAATCTGATGAATTTAGAAAACATGAATATCTTTCAAATAATCCCTTGGCTTCTGTGTCTCATATATTATTTGCTTTCTGACAGGTGTTAGAATTAGAGGGCCATTACTGCCCATCTGAAGTAAATAAGGGCCTTTTTATTTCTTTCTTTCGTATGACTCTATTTACTTCTTAATGAGAGTGACAAATGCGGTTTAAAGTAAAAATTGTGCCATTACTAATGAAAAATGTGCTGGCAGCCACAGAACTGAGAATTGCAAAATGTCACGGAGCACTTATTTTCCTGTCGATGTGGTGGAGTGGTGGTTAAGGAAAAAGTTGTAATCAACATAATAACGGGATGGTTAATATTTTAGCAGAGTGGAATTTTACTTTGATTTACTGAAAAGAAACACATCGATCAGCAGCCATTTAATTACTATTCATGAAACATAGTTGTTAAACATTAAATTATTTTTCTCCCATATTTCACTGTAAACTAATGAAGATTTTAGAAACAATGTAGATGAATGGAAAAACACACTGTACAAAATGAATGGTAACTAAGATTTAAATAAGAACTTGGAAATGGCAAAAAAAAAATTAGAGCATGATTAAATATCTGTATTAACACTGAACAAATTTGGAGCTGTTTCAATAGCTTTGTTATTCACAGATTTGACTAAAGCAGTGCTGACTGTGATCGGAAGATTATCGTATGCTTCTGAGCTGGAAGCACAAAATGAGCTATATTCTTAATAGGATTTTATTATCTGTCTCATTAAAGCTATTGATAATCTAAATTTATTATGTTTGCAACATTTGGGTAGAAAAACACACGATGTTAGTGTGCCCCCCTGTGGCTATAGACTGGTCAGTCAGAATGTCAAAAAAGGCCCACAAAGAAAGGAGGCCATAACTGGTTAGATTATCCATTGAATACTTGCTGAATCCAGGCAGAGGGTAGTGGCTCCTGTTTTTAAAGTTATTCTGAGAGGGTTCACAATTGCTTCTATAGTTCCTATGAATATTTTACTTTTAGTAGTTACTCCTGCTAACCGGCAAATCTATCTCTGATTCTGAAGTTGGGTGGCATAGGAAAAACACGTTATCTCCACACAGAAGATTTCTTTTCTCTCATGTTTTTATTTATTTATTTTTTTTAATAAGAGATTTTCTTTATTTTCTTGGCAGGGAGAGACACAGTAAGAGAGGGAACACACGCAAGGGGAGTGGGAGAGGGAGAAGCAGGCTTCCTGATGAGCAGGAAACTGGGCTTGATCCCAGGACCCTGGGATCATGACCTGAGCGGAAGGCAGATGCTTAATGACTGAGCCACCCAGGCGCCCCTCTGTCATGTTTTAGTGTGATTAAGTCAAGCCTGAATGGTTCTGTGCAAGTATTTACAAATATAGTTCATAAGTCAGTAGGATAGTGGATCAAGTAAGAAAACTTGTGTTTGGAGAGGCCCATAGCTTGAAAAAACCTAGTTTGCCAGTTTGTATGATGTGCATGAAGACTGGTATTTGTTTATAAATTTTGTGAATCAGTAGGATATGGGATATCTATAAAGTATGTGGTAGATTTCGCAGAATTTAAAACCCCTTCTATAGAACTGCTTTTTAGAGTCACCAGCTTTAATATTTTGACTCCAGGGTATTACCAGTAAACACTCTTCTTCATTTAACTCTCTAGTCACTAGTCCCAAGATGCAAAGACAACTGTGGACAAGTTCATGCTTCTGGAAATACTCCGCAAGGACCAGTTGTTAGTGACTCTGTTAGCTATAAAAGCCTGCACCAGATCTTTTGAGGTCCTGCAGTGTATCTACAATTGGACATGTTTTAGAAATGAATGAGTTGGGAGTGTTAAAAATCTGAGGCAAAAGGATTTACGGATATTCTGAGTGAGGAAGAGAAACCTCAAATAATAGAAAAGGGAAGTCGTAGTATAATAACACTTGATTTGACAAAGATTAAGACTGCTTTGAGATAAATCAAAGCAAGACTACTAACTGTATGGTTGGAAGGTTGAATTTTCCATTGAAACAGGTGTTCGAATTCTAACCAACTTTAATATTGCTGGTCTCAGCACAGGTTTCTTCTGTCTCAAGCATGCTTTTCCAGACTTTCCATTTTGTAACTTTCTTTAGTTCAAAATACTATGCATCTAGGCCAACCACTTTTTATTAAGAATTTAAAAAGTGAAATCAGAAATAAACTCAATTTTAAGGAGGCAGATCATTAAAGAAATAAAGCAAACATCTGTTTTCTCTACTAAAAATTTCTTTTTATTAAAATGAATTGTTTACCATAACAACTGTGATTGTGAAGAATTTTTAAAATTCCAATCATTCCATTGGAAGGAATAGGTTTTGTTTCCTTCTGTTTTCCTCTAATCCAAAGTGACCTCTAATTTTTTTTTTAAAGATTTTATTTATTTATTTGATGGAGAGATTGAGAAAGAGAACAAGCAGGCAGAGCAGAAGGCAGAGGGAGAGGGGGGAAGCAGGCCCCCCACTGAGCAGGGAGCCCACGAGGCTGGGCTTGATCCCAGGACCCTGGGATCATGACCAGAGACAAAGGCAGCAGCCCAACCAACTAAGCCACCCAGGCACCCCAAGTAACCTCTAGTTTTAATTTGATCATTTAACATAGTTTAATTTCCCAGAGAACAGTATTTTATAAATATTGATACTTGTCAATTTTCTGCACATATTGAAATGAGTTATGTATTTTTAAAAGACAAATCGAACCATTTCTGACCCCACCATTTACACCAAAAAGAGAAACCTTAAAGGTAGGGCAAAGTCAAAATCCAAATAATAATAGTAATACTTCACAAACTATTTTACTTCTTTATGGAAAATTCTCTTCACACTGTTAGAGAAAAGCAGGTTAAAGTAGAATAGGAAAAAATGAAAAGGCAAAGCAAAAGATGAAATGATAGTGTTTGTGATCTTAATTTAGTATCTCTTAGCATTGAATATCTCCTACCAAAATGTTGGGGTTTTGTCATATAGATTATTGGTTCTTAGCCAGAAAATTTTATTGAATTCTTGAACTCAATGTTTTCCCTTTTTTGGTCCTTGCTATCTTAGGCTCCTTGATGATTTATATTCTGCAAAGAAATTTCCAATTAATTTTTCTTACTATGACATTTTTATTGGATTGTATTTGTTGATAACTCCTTTGTGTTTTTGAAAGTAAAGACAGAAAAGCTCCAGTCAAGGCTATTTATTGAATAGTGATCATTCCTAAGTGTTTAGAAAGGAAATGTTACAGAAACAGAAAGAAGTGACCCTGAGACAGAACTACCAAAATCCATCCGAGCTACAGATTGGCAAATTGCTTAATTTCTGTTTTCCTAATTTAGTTGGTAAAACACCAATTAGCTCTCTTTTCAGGGTAGTTATAAATCTCATGTGCTGACCTACTATTCTGATCTATGTATCCTTCTTCAGGATAGAGAGTGAACAATATTGAGACCTGTTTGAAAAGGATAAATTGTTAAGTGGTACATATATTTTAAAAAAGAAAGGTCATCTTTTCTGTTTGCAAATGACATAATTTGGTTTGTAAGACACCAAATTAACTTTTAAAAAGTAGGCTTGACCATTAGCATGCAGTCAGACATTTAGAATGGACCATACAGTACTAACATAGAAGCTCAATGTTTCTTTCCTACAAAATCTCCTAATTACTCTTAACTTCCTACTTCTTATTCACAAAACCAAAACATACTAAATGCCAAGAAACTGAGTTATTTTTCTCTCTTGCAGTCTAAAGTTGTTGTCCCTCAACCATCAGTTGTAGTAATGTTCCATGTCACTCTGGAGCAGGATGTGGGACTGTTGTTTGCACACAGTCCCATTTTCCACTAGGCTGATATAAAAAGGTAGATTGTTAAGATCTCCAATTCTAAGGGTAAATTCAGCATGAATGACTTTTTCTCTCAGAAAAATGTAGCAGATAAAATTGCATGTGTTTCTTTTGCATATGGAATTTCCCATCACCAAGTACATGTCTAATGAATATTTCATTAGCAACTTACTCATTAGGAGGAATTGACCAATAATGAATAGTCTTTATAGTACAGGCACAGTTACATATCAGTGAAAATAAATGCCTCTCAAAATGTGGCCAATGAAATGATACAGAATACCTTGCATTTGTCATTGTTCTATGATTAGAAATGGATCGCAGTACAGAAATTTTCTACCAAGCAAACTCACTGTCATTGATATGTACTGCTATAGCATTACCAAAATGTACATTTTCAGATCCGAGGACATGAAAATCAGTGTCCCAGAGAAACTGAAACCTACCCAGATATAGCTGAGAATATGTAATTTTTTTGTATGAAGTTTTTGCTTTAGAACACTAATCTGTTAAAACTAAACACATCACACAGCACCTTTCCTTTTGTATCTTGAAAAGTGTACATGAGCAAGCGTTGAAGAAAAAACAGATTGATTAGAAAAGCCCACAGTCTTTTAGATTCTCTTTGACTATTATATCTGTAACTGCATCAAACACGAACTTGACATTTTGGGTATCTGTAGCACAGGTCATGTGGGAATAAATTTCCTTATCTTCTTTCTTTAAATTCAGGTCTAGAAACTGGTTTTTGATGTAATTCCCTGCATCTTCAAATGTATTTGGTCCTTATTAAAAAAAGAAAAGAAAGAAATGTTAATTGCATTTTAAAAGCAATAAAATTAGAAATGTCATTAAGTTTTAGGATTTTACTTTGTGTGCTGCTGTTTGATATACTCAGTGTTAAAAAAAATCAAGAAAGCAATGGTCAGTTATCCAGGATTTATGCGATATTAAATTTGTGCTGGGAACTATGCTTGTCTCACTGAGTGGGGGCTTTACTTGATTAAAATACAATAAAAATTCTAACATTTTATATATAGACAAGAAGTCTATATATATGACAAAGGCCGTGCATGTATCTGTGTACATGGGGGTGTGTGAGTTTTCATATGAACTAAAAGAATAGAAATTGTAGATGAGTGGACTGTGGAATGAGGTGGTGTTTGACCTGGATCTTGAGGGGTAGCTAGAAGAGAGAAGGAAGTAGTTTGACTGAATGCCAAAAAGTGGGAGTGAGAATGGCCTGTGTCACTAGACTTGAGGATAAGGTTCAGGATCAAATGTGCACTTTGGAGAGATGAGTTGGATGGGAAGGACAGATTTTTTGCAGAAGAATTATAGTAAATCAAGTAGAATGGATGGTATAGGTCAGATTATGGACTATGCTGCTGACCGAACAAAGGAGTTGAGATGACGTATGTAGAACTAGAGAGAGCTGCTCCTGACTGATGCTTTAGTAGAGCTAGATGGAGAGTCGATGGGGAAGGGGTGGGGGAGGGGGACAGTTGGGAATGGTTAGCCTTGTAGCAGAACTCACAATGGATCAACTGGGAAAGGAAGAAATAAAATACAAGTGCTAAGAAACACAAGGCAGCTAAAAATGACCTGTGTTGATGGTTTTACAACAGAATATACTTTGAGGGAACCTAACATAGGACAGGGCAGCAGCATGAAGATTTTCCATGGTGGTAAGATTATTGTTCCTCACTTCATTGTAACTAGGAGAAAAATTCCATGAGGGACCATCTTTAAGACCATGTAGAGTGGCTAAAATCCAAAACATTAACAGAACACCAAATACTGCCAAAGATGTGGAGCCACAGGAACTCCAAATGGTACAGCCACTTTGGAAGGCAGTTGGCCAGTTTCTTACAAAGCTAAACAGAGTCTTACCATACACTCTAGCACATGTGCTTCTAGATATCTACACAAAAACATACAGGCACACAGAATCTTGAACATGAATGTTTATAGCAGCTTTATTCATAATTGTCAAAAATTAGAAGTAGCTAAGATATCTTTCAATAGATGAAAGATGAAAAAAAAACTGGTTTATGGAATGAAATATTATTCAATAGTAAATGGAAATGGACTATCAACCCATGAAAAGACATGGAGGAAATTTAAATACATATAGCATTTTATAATGAAAAGAGTCTGTCAGAAAATGCCATATATTGTATGATTACAGCTCTATGACATTCTGGAAAGAGTACAACTATAGATGGAGTAAAATGATCAGAGGTTGCCACAATTTGGAGGGGAGGGGTAAAGCACTGATTTATAGTGGAACACAGTTGATTTTTATGGCAGTGAGGCTATATGTTACTGTAATGATGGGGACATGACATGAATTTGCAAAACGCACGGAACTGTATGACACAGAGTGCCCTTAATAAACTATGGACTTTAGTTATAATGTATCAATAACTGTTAGTCAATGGTAACAAATACACCACCTCAATGCAAAATGTTAATGATAAGAGAAATGGGAAGCTGACTAGAGAGGGAGTAGAACTCTCATTTTCCATTCATTTGTCCTGAAAACCAAAAACTGCTCTAAGAAATAAAGCCCATTATTTAAAAGAAAGCATACAGAGCTTTACTGAGTCTATATGTAGTTTGTATTATTCAAAATGGAATCATGATTATATTTAATCACATGATAAATGTGTTAACATATAATTAGTATTTACAAAGCTAGAAGAAAGATAGAAGCACTAGTTTTACATTAGCATAAATAGCTACTATGACAGACTGCCATGCTTCTAGTAACATCTGGGCTACCCATAAAGCAAAGTAGTAGAATTAGCTTCTATTTGTGTTTTTTAAAATTTATTTTTATTTTTTTTAGAAGATTTTATTTATTTGAGAGAGTGAGAATGGACATGAGTTGGGGGGAGGGGCAGCAGGAGAGAGAGAAGCAGGCTCCCCACTGAGCTGGGAGCTGACGTGGGGCTCCATTCCAGGACCCAGAGATCATAACCTGAGTCAAAGGCAGATACTTAACCAAATGAGCCACCCAGGCACCCTATTTGTCATTTAAATCATAAGTATTTCCATCTTACACACAATTTCATTAACAGAGATGTAACTATATACCAAAAAAAAAAAAAAAAAACACCCTATCTCTGAAGGAAAAAAAAACTTCTGACAGTTTATAGTCATTAACAGGATTAGCACTAAAATTCTAGGTCCGGGGGCGCCTGGGTGGCTCAGTTGGTTAAAATTCTAGGTCCTAGGAAAACTGGAAAATGAAAACTGGAAAGAGAAAATGTCACTATTCTCAAAAATCATTGAGACCGTCCCTGAGGAAACTTAATTCAGACTTTGAAAAACAACTGCATTTTGAAGTTTCATTAGGAAGTACATAAAAAAATGCCAGTTTGGTGGGGGCATCTGGGTGGCACAGTCAGCTGGGTGTCTGACTCTTGGTTTCAGCTCAGGTCATGATCTCAGAGTCTTGAGATGAGGCCTCGAGTCAGGCTCCCCACTCAGTGCAGAGTCCGCTTAAGACTCCGCCTCTCCCACTGTTCTCTCTCTCTCTCTCTCTCTCTCTCGTAAAATAAATCTTTTTTAAAAATGCCAATTTGGAATATATTATTTGTAATGTTTAAGTTAATATAGTTTGCAGTGTTTAATACATAGAGTAGCAGCGCTGGTCCACCTAATCTCCCATTTATTCCTTAGAGCTTTGCTTTAATGCCAACAGTGTTGAGAGGGTTTCCTATTTCACTGTAAGATTTCTTCCAGTTTGAATCATGCACATGACTCAAGCAATTATCATAAGCCTCAACTTGATAAATGTTACCTGTCAAGATGAAGATGGGAAAATATAGGTGTATAAAGAATTTATATGGAATTAAAGTATCTTACCAGTGTATTCTGGAAAGCAGATACTAAGATGCACTTTGGTTACTTTTTCTTGAAAGAGATCTTTTTTATTGAGAAACAGGACAATGGAGGTGGTTGCAAAGTACTTGTGATTACAGATACTGTTGAACAGGTGAAGGCTTTCATGCATTCTGTTCTGTTAGGTATAAAGGTGAGAATGTGTAGCATTATTATTTGCAAAATATTAACATTGGGCATTATAAACAAGACTCGAGAAGTAACATCTATGTTTGGAAGATCTTCCCCTAGTTGGGGAATATGGTAGTAATGTTGAGAAGCACATATGCTTGGGGTTTGTTTGTTTGTTTGTTTGTTTTACCCTGGCTTTATTTTCCTTTGAGACTCACCACTTCCCCGTCTTCCACTAGGACCATGTCGTAGGCACTGAGAGCAGCACAAAATATAATACATGTGACGCCTTCAAAGCAGTGAATCCATTTCTTTCTCTCAGATCTCTGTCCTCCTACATCAAACATTCTTTAAAAAAAATGAAAACAGGATAACAAGTCTTAGAGATACCCACCAAAAGTTACATTAATGTTAACTTTTAGAACTATAAATGAACACTCTTAAATCTTCAAAAGATAATCTTTTGATTTTTATTGATTATAAAATATTTTATTTGGCCAATTTACAGCTCAAGGACTACAGAAAAAGAGTTCATCTTTTTTTCTTTTCTTTTCTTTTCTTTTTTTTCTTTTTTAGTATTCATTCAAGCTAGAGAAAATCACATACTGACTTTGAGGGACTGGGCAATTTTTAGCAATTGATAGTAAGAAATTTACTAGACTCAAGAGATTTTTGGCTAAAGTCTATGCATAGTGTGGAAGTGTTGTGTCACTATGTTGTACACCTAAAACTAATAGAAAACTGTATACTAACTGTACCAGAACTAAAATTAAAAAAAAGTCTATGCATAGTCTTAAATGAACAGAACCTACAAAAGGATTGGAAGCTAACATAGTTCTGATACTTTGATTCTTGCTTCTTCTCTTAGTTCTTCCTTCCTTCCTTCCTTCATTCATTCAATTACGTTTTCATTTTCTGTGTGGGGCACTGTGTTAGGCCTACCAACAGAAAGATGAAAAGATATGGTAACTACCTTCAAAGAGCCTGCTGTTTTGGAGAGAGAAATCCAATATGTTATAGGATTATATGATAAATAATCTTTTATCTTAAAAGATTATATTTATTTGAGAGAGAGAGAAAGTGAGGGGAGGGGCAGAGGAAGAGAGAATCTCAAGCAGACTCCTTGCGGAACATAGAGCCCAACAGGGGTTTGATCCCATGACCCTGAGTTCGTGACCCCAGCTGAAATCATCTGTCGGACACTTCACTGACTGACCCACCCAGATATTTGGTACTATATAATAAATAGAGTAATCCACAAGGTAAAATGTGAGCTCAGAGGAAAACCTAAGTCAGCCTGAGTCATCTTAGAACTTACTCAGAAGAGGTGTTTGAAAATGTGTTAGTATTTTGGTAAAAGTGTTAGTATTTTGGTTAAAGTCACCCTCGTGGACCTAGGAACTCAGTAAAGAAACTAGGAGTTATTCTTAACACCTTCCTTTCCCTTACCCTCCACATAATACCCATGCAAAATGCAGTTCCCAATTCATGCACTTCTCTCTAAGGCCCCTTCTCTTGTACAAGCCACCGACATTTCTCAGCACAGCCACGGCCAAAGTTCTGTGACTTTCCTCAGGCTTGTCAGCCATCAAACCACACACAGGCTGGTCTGATGACCCTTGAGGTTCTGGCAATTTTGGTTCCTGCTTACTTTTCCCACCTTAGTTCATACTACTCTCCTCTTTAATATAATCTGATCATAAGGCTACTCTTCACGCTCTTAATCCTAATTTTTTGCAGCTTCAGGACTTTGGCACAACCTGTCTCCTTCCCAGGTGACATGACTCCTTTCTTCATGACATGACCCTGCCTCATTCTCACTTCGCAGGTCTTACAGTCAGCGTCTGTCACAGTGTCCACAAGGAAGTTGCCTTTAACCTCTATGTGAATTGTGTCTCTCCCCATCTCCATTTACTTTCTCTCACATCACTTTCTTTCCAAGAAAGGATTGCTTTATAGGATGGTGTTAATAGGATGGGGTCGGGGGGAGCGGGGAGTTGTTAGCAAGTGCGTGTGCCAGTCATCAAGAAATGAAGAACATGGCATGTCTGGGGTAAGCACATAATGTATATTTTCGGGAACGTGAAAACTTAAGTAAAACCATTTACTTAAATGGTTAAGTAACCATTTACTTAAATTAATTAAATTAAATTAAAAACCATTTACTTAAATGGCCTAATTATTCATTTATTCAAAGAATATTTATTGATCATGCCAAGCATTAGAGATTCAACCTCAAGAAGCTTCTAGTCTACGTGGTGGCAGTGTTGGTGGTGGGGCTTGTTGTGTGGTGTTTGTGAACAGGCTTAGGATAGAGACATGCAAGGAGTGTAGGGATGGGTCATAATTCAAACTAAACTAACTGGAAACTGCTAATTAAAAGCTTAAGGAGTTGAGGGACTGAGCCAAGTGAATGTCTAGGAAAACATTTCAGGGAGAGACAGCAGAAGAAACAGCAAGAACAAAGGATTTGAGCAGGTGGGAGCAAACCTGGCACCTTAGCCCTGAAATAGGTTAACTAGGTCTTTTGTATTACACGAGAAGATGACATTTATATAGCCATCAGTGGGGGAATTATGAGGGATTTGGGGGCAGAGAATTAACATTGTTTGTTTGCTTGTTGTTATGTTAGGTCACTTTGATCTGAGTCCAGAAGATAGATTTGATAAGAGACTAGAGGCAGAAAAAGAAATTATGGAGCTTTCATAATAGTTTAACCACAACATGTTAATTACCAAGAAACATCCAAGCTGTACAGAGATTTCAAAGGCATTAACTGTACCTGGGATAATAAATTCCTATTAGTTGACTTGGTGAAGATAATCAAAAGTAGAATACATTGTAGAGTCCATTCTACTACTTTACACTTGATGTGTGAACCAGGTAGAGAACAGACATATAGAACTGAATTCCTCAAATTTGTATGTGTACACACACACACACACACACACACACACACACAAATGCATCCCGATGCAAAATTAAAAAAGAAGATGCTAACAATACTCAAGATAATGTTGAAGAGTTCAGTAGTTAGGTGCTTTGGAAATTTAAATCCAGTATCAACAAACACTATTATAGTACTGCTAATGCCAAATCCTTTGCAGTTTCAGACTTGTAATATAAATGGAGAAAGAGGACAGAATTTTGAATTTAAGGTTATATTATGTGTAATTTTGAATTTAAGGTTATATTATGTGTAAACCATTTAATTTTTGAAAATGAGTTAAGACTCTTACGGAAACAAAGATAATTAATATGTAGTCAGACCTTTAAATTTTAGTCAAATATTTTGTTGATCTATAAAAGTAATCTTAGTATTTTAGTATTTTTAGTATTTTTTTCAGACTTTGAAAAATCATTTTATCTATAGCTTGGTTGAAATTATAAAATGTAGTCCAAATGGAAATAGTTTAGATTATGACTTTTATTAACTCCATGAGTTCCCACCAATTGTAATGTCTTAATCTTAATTTAACACACCCAGTGAGAGTTTATTTGCCAAGCATGTGAGTAAGCTACAACAATTGACTCAAATTTTAAACTATAAACTCATAAGGCAAGTACAATTATGATTTCTATTTTTCATAGAGCCACTTGCCCAAGGTGTATTAATTCAAGTAACAATTGTGGAGGCTGTTATGTACCAAGCGGCATGATAGGTTCTGTGGGTATGATCATGAAGCTTTGTTATGAGCTCATCAAGTGCAACTTCATTTACTTGGACCAGAGGTCCTCAGTTAATACCTAGTGGCCACAGTTAGCTTGAAAACTCTTAAACTCTCACCAGTGGGCTGGAATTACCTTTGCTGTAGTCTGTCCTTCTTCTAGTTCAGACAGTAGTTCTATGTGTTGTCAAACTGGGCAAAAATGTAAAACTCCCCTTCCCAGGTATTTTGTTCCATGATTTTAATGGTGATAGTATAGACTGTCAGAATTCTAGGTGTTGTGTATATTCCCCATTTGGTCATAGACAGATATATGATGGATCATTTGTTGGCAAAGGAATGTGATACTGTGATCAAATAAAGATATATTAACTTGTGGATTTTGGTGTGTTGAAGATTGAATATGCATCCTTAGGTTTAAACTCCTGGTAAGCTTTTCGAACTAAAACCACCCATTGTATCTCCACCCACTAGATTTGAATGTGTAAGTATCTCCTTAATTCTTGCTTCCTCTTTCGTCCTAGTCCTCTCTTCAAGGTCTGTTTCCATCGTGGGCATCCCACAATGGAGAACTAACTAATCATAAATGAGGACACAAGTTGCTGGATGAATAGAATGAGTGATAAGAGAACTCAAAATTCAATTTCCACAGTAGAAATGCTATTGCTGTAGGAACCAAACTCCAGGACACCTTGGTTAAGTTTTCTCCACCAGATGGATAGGACTTGAGCTTGTCTTACTAGCGTTTCTTTTTGAGCCTCTTTTCCTCTGCTCTTATGGCCAACTAAGTAAGCTATCTCCATCCATCTGATGATTTCTCTTTTTAATTACTTTTATATTTTCAGTTAGATTATATTCAAAATTTATAAATCTGAAGATGTTCTATTAGTAGAATATTCCTTTCTCATATTCCTGGCACAGTGATCAAATATTTTATCTCAAAGAAGATAACCTTATTGTGCTCATGTCAATAGTTTTAAATCAGAAAAAAAAATTGCAGGGAGTCCCTTGCAATGAAAACAGTAATAATTATCAAGATATGGGTATTACCAATTTATGAACTCTGAGGGGAATTTAAACTCACCAGGAAAAGGGAAAAACAGAAACTTCATGTGGTTTCCATGTTTTTCTTTTCTACAACGTAATCTCAAATGGCTTTCCCAAGAAAGAGAATGTTTGGAAAATCTTTGAGATGAAATTCAGAGCAAGCCTAGCAATCTTGCTGGCTCTCTCCTGGCTTTCTCTGATCATTCAGCTTCTTCACAGCCTACTGTTGACATTAACATCCTTGCGTAAGGGTATCTATTCTCTTCTTCAGGTAAATATATACATTTAGTGAGGGGCATAATGTGTAATATGACCCTTAGCCCACTGTTCTTTTAATTTGTCATGCAGCCTTCAGTAAACATGTTTCAATTGGCATAGCTTTCTCCTGAGGAAGGAAAGACAAAGATTTGTTCTCTGAGGGTTTTGTCATATTGATAAAATGGCTTTTCAAAGTCTTCGATAGCATGTTAGTTACCTTCTCATTTTATGACTCACTTAATAAACAGTGATGTGTATCTATGTGCATGTGCTCAGGTTGAAGTTAGAGACAAGGGCCCAGGGAGCATAGAACATTGCTCTAATGCCATCTGCCATAACAGAATTGAAATGTCCATTAGCAAATCAGACCAACAGCTGGAGTTCTGCTCTTATACTCAGTCTACTGGATATTATGTTAGCTCTAAGAAGTTACGTGTTGTTTTGCTGCTATTGTAGTAATTTCTTTTCACACATCCCTCTTCACTTTGACCTCTTCCTCTAAATTTTAATTTTGGGTTTATTTTAGAGGTATAAAGCATTAAAACCTAGAAACATTTTAGAGATTTCCAAAGTAGAAGTCTTTTCTAACATATTTCATTGAATTGGTGTTCTCTGATCTAAAAAATATATGTAAGAATATATATGAATATATGTGAATATGAATACATGTATATTCCATCATGACCAATTTGTGAAAAACAAATGGAGAAATCAGAGAAAAACGTGCTTTTTCGCTAACTGACATTTGGATTGGTCAGATCTACAGAGACAATTAATGAAGTAAACATATGCGTGATACAGATTGAATACCCTTGATTCCCTGAGTAGTGAAAGTAACCAGAGCATTAATGATATTGAATGAAATGTGCAATTCTCATTTGGGTGAAGAAGTTTTATTTTACTTATTTGTTTGGTTATATATATATTTCCTTATTAAGTCTGATAGTTCAGTTAGACTTGTTTAAAAAAAAAAGTTTTTAAATGCCCAAGTTGTACCATACAGCTAAAAATCCACAGGCAAGGCTTTCAAGTGACAGCTGAACATTGATTATTTGTTAAACTATCCATGGCATTAATAGAGAGCAAGGTATCAGGGTTTTATGGCTTTATAGTCAGCATTTGAGTTGTGTAGTCTATTTTAAACAATTGGGAAAGTTGTTGAGTTTTATGGCTTTATGTCAAACAGTCTAGCAGCTGAGTAGCTAATCAGACTTACTCCTAAGCTGACTTATGCCCCCACAATAAAGGAAACCAATGCACATGATCAATTTAAAATTCAAGAAAATTATAATTTATGTTATATCATAGATCCACTCGAACATTGTTGGAAATAGTTAAGTTGAACTTACAAAACCTAAAGCTTCACATTATAATAGTTGCTGACTTCCCTTCTTTGACTTCCTCATAGCTTTATGTCTTTATAATTCTCTTGTTTAATTGTGAACAATTAGGAAGTGACTTTTCTATAATTGTTTGATAAAGCCCTATAAATCTTTAAGTTCTTTGTCCTAAGGAATTATTTTATAACAAATAAAAGAGCTCACACTTGTATTTTCCATTTACTAGTACTTTAACATGTATAAAGATAATTTCTTTTATGTTTGGCAGTTGGAGTTCTGGTTTGATAAGAACACTAAGGTAATTTCCATTAAATTAGGTGATATAGGAAGATGATATAGTATATTGGCAGAGAGAATTTTTCATTTTGATGTTCCTATTTAAAATTCTAGAGTTCTCTAATTTAATATACAAATTAAATCTTTAGTTTTAAATAATCATAGGATGATGTATGCTATGTGAATACAAATCAATGCTAATGCAATATATTTTAATATCTTAGGCACTTACTGAAATGAAGTTGGAAGGTATCTTATTTTTGTACTTTCTATTTTGAAATACTACCAAATTTTATACTACAAAATCCTGTGCATTTATAGATAATCCTATTCAGCCCTTCAAAAAAAAAAAGTGATTTAACTGTGGGAATTTATTAAGGGATTAATATATCTCAGTTGCTGTAACTAAACTTAAAAATGTAAGTAAGTGGTTTTAAATAGTTCCTTAAGAAAGTAGAGTTGCCTTTTTTATATTTTGTAGTAAAATTTAAATATTTTCCAAATTCCATTGTTTAAATACTTGTGTTTAGAGAAAATCCTTGCATTTGAGTGAGTAATTAATATTCTCCATTCCTTATAGAAGATGCCTTTTAAATAATAAATCCTCTTGAGCAGGAGGAAAAACAATACCTATTAAAACAAAAGAGCTAAAAACCTATTTTTTTTTAAGGATTTTATTCATTTATATGAGAGAGAGAGCACAAGTGGAATATGGGGCAAAGAGAGGGGCAGGGTCCCCACTGAGCAGGGAGCCTGATGTGGGGCTAGATTCCGAGATCCAGGATCATGACCTGAGCCAAAGGCAGATGCTTAACCAACTGAGCCACCCAGGTGCCCCACGAGTTAAAAACCTGTCTTAAGAATGGCAAAGAGGTCACAGTTGGGTATCATAGAAATTGTTATGACAAAAGAAGTCCTAACTTGACTTTACAATCCAGTTCCCAAACACCTTCCATTTCAGCCTTGATGCTGTCATAGAGAATTAGAAGACCTTTCCTACTCCTTTATAAGGGCCAGTGAGATACGAAAGTAGCATAGGCAATGCCCTGCCTGTAGGACTCAGTGCCTCACAAACCATAGAAGGACAGAAAAATGATGATGGACCAATGGGGGTTTAGAGGTATAATCTGATGAGACCTATTATGAGGTTACATATCTTTAAAATAAGGTTTTATTTTTTTAAAAAACTAATGCAAATGCTGTTACACTCAGAATATAATTTTTTAAATTTTATTAGTATTATTTGGTACTGAGAGGAATAGATGTTCCAGAAAATGAACGTGACTTTCTGAGGTTTGGGATGCTCACTGGCAGTCATCATGTCCCCTGGTTTCAGAAGCACAGATATGCGAAGGTACCAGAGCCTGCCAACTCCTAGACAGCTCCCCAACAGGCTGTTTTATTCCCTGTTCCCTCTTCTCTCTGAAGGGAATTACAAAGGACCAAAAACATTGGAAGGAACACTTATTCTATGGAAGAAAGAATGGTTTCTGCCAGTTTACCTCGTGGCCCACAGAGATACTCAGTGTAAGAAGTGTGGTCTTGGAAGTTAGAAAGATGTGTTCTAACCACATTTCTAGTGCCTCTATGTATGATCTTGAGGAAATCTTTCACCTCATTTGAGCCTCCATTTTGGGGCTCTTTGTCCAACATAAGAGCAGCAATGCTCGGTTCAACGTGTTTCAAGGAATGTGTACAAATAGGGTCCATAGAGTGATTGGCCTAGCACGTTTATTCATCTGGCAAAAATTAACTGTAAGCCTACTCTGTGCTAGCCATCATGATAATCACAGGAGATGGTACTGTAGAGACATGGCTCCTACCCTCCGGTTGCTTGGAGCATTTAAGACAGAAATAGAAACAAACAAAGAAGTCAATTTCATACATTAGTAAGGGTTTTGTTTTTGTTTTTGTTTTTGTTTTTGGAACAAAATAGCATGATATTTCAATCTTGTAAAGGCATTGGCTCACGTTGGTATGGCAAGTGAGAGCTCTTTGCATTTCTTCCCAGTACTACATTTAGTGACTTCTCATTGCTAGGTTGCAGTTAGCCATTGTTACAGTATTTTTATACCAAGGGGATCTTCAGGGACCGCATATCAGGCCTTCCTTCTCCCCCTGTCCCAGAGAGCCTACTGATAGGCTTACCAGGACACTATTGGGTATAGTAGTGACAAGTATACACAGGGATGGTAGACAGAATGATCAAGGTTCCATGAGGAGATGGCATCTCATTTTGGAACTTAATGATAAGAAGGAGCCAGTCTTTGCAGAGATCCAGGATCAGAGAGAGCATTTTAGGCAAAAAGAACAGCAAGTGCAATGGCCCTAAGGTTTAGAACATTCAAGGAAGAGATATATACGGCAGATAGTTTATGATAGTGACTATTTCTGAGAAGATACCAAATTGGTGTTGCATAGGCTGACTGGAGTTGTCAACTTCTAGGTATTCAGTACATGATATTAATTTTCATAAGTGGTCCATGATCCCGTCTAAACTCCAGAAAATTCTATTAGTTTGTGTAATGCTTTGACAGGCTTAGGAGGGGCAGAGGATCTAAGTAATTGGACGTGGATTCCCATAGGAAAACCTCAGAAACTGGATCAAAAACCAGGAGTGTGGAGAAGGTCGTTGCCAAAGAGGAATTGCACGATGGCCGTGACAGGACCGAAGACAAACTGCTTACATTTGCAAGAGTAGATGTTGATCCAGATCTTAGCAGTCCCTTTATCCTGGTTTGATCTTTGACTCATCTGTCAGATAATTAACCATTTGTGGACTTGGAATTCAGGTGTAAATTTTGAAGAGCTTTCTGTGATATTAACTTGAAAATACCCTGGCTATCTATGTAACATCTAGTCTAAGCAGATATTCTGATTCGGCAATGTTAATAATTTAAAAAAAAATTTTAAAGCTTTTATCCCACTGAAGTAAGTTTGCTTCACAAATGGATGCAGATAATCCATGTCACTTTTGTTTCATTTTTCTACTTTAAAAAAATATTCTCCGTTTGCATACATGAATGAGTTTATTGCATTTTTAATTATTTTTTTCATTTTATTAAGTGGTACATCTGGAGCCTGGTTTTAATGTTTAACAGTCCATCTTATCCACAGTCCACAGGGAGAGGTACTTAAGTGTCATGACATTTTATAACATTACACTTTGGATTTCCATTCCTTGGTATAGTAAATGAGTGGTTTTGCACTTCTAGAAAGGTCTTGGTAATGTGACAGCAATAAAATTAGTGGGCTCATTTTCATACCCAAACCATACTTATAAAATAGGTCTTGTTACTTCAGTAAATAGCATCACATTCAAATAGTTCTCTCAGTTATTTGCATTTTTTAAATTAAGGATATGAATAAGAATATTTCAGGCAAATGGGAGATTGGAGGGCAAAGGACATTGTATCTGTGGCACCTGTTACTTAAATTTTATTAAAATATAATTTCTTTCTCTCCTCCTCTCTCTCTCTCTCATTTTCAAAGTAGGATATCAGTTTCAAGAGAAAAATGAAATCGAGCTCCCACCTAGTCAAGACAAGGCATTTTTCTTTGAGGAGGATATAGGGCTTAGGATGAGGGATAGGGTGTAAGGCCATAGGAAAGCAGTAAGAGAAAGTGGTACTAAGAGTGAACAAAGCTTGGGAAGAATGCCCAAGCATTCAAGCCCAATCTCAGAAACAGGTTAGACCTTTCTCTGTGAAAAAATATTGACTACTTTCATAGATGGTTAGAAAAGACATAGTGCATACCTGAAATGCAAATCTTTAAAGGAGAATTGAGTTTCAATGATTCCAGTTGTTTTCACTCTAGAATGTAGCACATCTTGCTCATTCGGGACATATCCAGGAGCTGTGATTCTGTCGACGTCATTAAGATAGCTAATAAAACAACAAAAATAGCATATATTTTTTAAATTTATGTTTGAAGAGACCAGGATTCGGTACCAATGAATTTTTACTTCAGGGTCCATTAAAATTATGAAGCTCCAGGCTGGTGCTTTTAAAATTGTGCTCATCAGAGCTTGGTGCCGGATGCGGCAGGGCTAAGAGTGGTGCACAGCTGACCCATGGAGGTCTCTATAATTATAAAGTTTGCTAGACCAGTGCTGCCTTAGCCTGTGTTTTATGAGGTATATGTAACAGAACTGGCGGTGTATGGATATATTTCAGAGAAAAGTTCTATTTTCAGGTTTTGATCATCCTCCCCCAAAATGCTATCTTGTCATGCTAGGCACTAGACTATCTTAAAAATGCTGTAGTTTGAATTTAGGTTCTTTGAATTTTAAGACAGTAATTGGTTGCAATAATGTTGTTCTCCACAGATTGTCTAGCTTAGGACTCTGGACCATTTGTTTTAAGTGCCATGATTATATGCAGTTAGTGCAATTAAAAAAAAAACAAAAACAAAACAAAAACACCTTTGACTTTCTTGCTGGTTCACAGTGGAACTAACTCATGACACTGGTGACCCATCCAAGTGACAGAAGGCTGAACTTAGACATTGCATTCACTCCTACTACTCTTCTTCCACCTGTGTGTCAGTGGCCTTACTCTTTCCTGGAGGACATATTTAAAAATCCTACCATTCCCAAGCCTAATATTGCCCTTTTTTGGGCCACAGAATCTAGGGGTGCTGAAAAGGAGGAACAGGTCTGAGTAAACCCTGTGCTCTCTTAGAGTCTGTTAGATGAGAGGGGAGGAATTGCTCTTTGGCTCTGTTTTGAAACCAGATCATGTCTTTAAAAGCATTTAATTGCTTTCAAAACAGTTGACAACCACTATTCTAGACTTTCAATACCAGGGCTTTAGTAGCTTAGCAATATGGCTATTTCTGTGAATATGCTAAATAGAGACAGTCAAAGTCTGGTAAGGTTTTTATGACAAAACTGGCCATTATATTAAACTTGTAAAAAAAAGTTTACATTTGCAGCTTAACAGGAAGGTCATGATGGGCAAACATCCATCCAGACAGAATTCGAGGGGTAGAATCTAGCTAAATATTACTTATTATTCAGAAGTTGAATTTTTCAGGGGCTCGATTGAAGAGTTGGTATGCATTAGCACCTCACACAATGCCTTAAACAGCACAACTATGTTATCATTTAAAAAAAAAAAAAATTCAACAGCAATGTAGATAATTTATTCTCTGAGGATCTTTCTGCTTTTGAGCAGAAACAAACGGACTGAATGCCCCAAAGGGGTTTTGGCCAGATGACAAAGAGGCAATCACAGTTCAGAAACATATGTATGTGTGATGTGAAAATTTCTCACCATGCTTTATTCCAAAAAAGCTGAATTTTTCTTAAAAGCAAGAGACAAATCAAGATACAGATATATCAGAAGAAAATATTGGAAGATTTTTCCAGTTTATCTCTTTTCTATTTTGTGAAGCCCCGTCCTTTGTGAATTCCGTATTGACTAAGTCTACACGTAAGGTAAAGTCTCCTGTTAGTCAGTTCATGAAGGAACCACAACATCAAAAGCAAACATGTCAACAGAGCGGTTAAATTCATTTTAATGATAGCTAAATGAATACTTTGGTAAAGACACATTTAATATACTTTCATTTGCATGTACATATGATTTCAAGCAAAGCAGAAGCATTAGCAGAGGAACAAATTTGCATTTAAGATAACCGCTTTTAATAAATAAAAGATTTGAGTGCTCAGGCCTGTGGCCTAGAACTGAAACCAGAAGACCAACATACATATGGCTCAAATCACCTTAAAAAAAAAAAAAAAAAATCTTTTTCTAATCATGTAAAAACAGTATTTTTTTTCTTGTAAAATCTTTGCTAAATCTAATGCTAATAGAATTTAAATAGCACACTAGGTGGCCTCAATCAGTAAACCATGAAGTATTAATAAGAATCTTTCCCCTGTTTGTCACTGTCCTGCCCGCTTCCTTTCAGTTTGCTAGTACTGATAGGGCAGGTTGGTCGGGTGTTGTCAAGGACATCGAATTCCCTGCTCTGATTAGGACTCACCTCCTTGTGAGCTTAAGTTTGAAGGGACTAAAGGTTCTTTGTTTGTTTTAAATACTTATTTAATTGAGAGAAAAAAAGAGAGAGCAAGAGAGCAGTGCAGGCACACACGTGAGTGGGGGTAGGGGTAAGGTGGGGGATGGGCAACGGCGGGGTGGGGAGGGCGCGGGGAGAGGCAGAGGGAGAGAGAGTCTTAAGCAGTCTCCTGGTGGAGCACAGAGACTGACTGACCTGGGCTGGTCTCCCAACCCTGAGATCTTGACCTGACTCTGAGATCCGGACCTGAGTCAAGACAGAGAATCAGAAGCTCAACCAACTGTACCACTCAGGAGCCCTGAAGGAACTCTAGGTTTGAAAAAATAATATCCTATTTTGACTGAAAACAGAAAAAATGGAAATGGGGGAAAAGGAAAGAGAGGGAGAAGAGAAAGAGAAAGGAGGGGGGGAGAGAGGGAAGGAGGCCATTGCCCTGTACAGTACATGCAAAATAGACATGGGTTTGGTACCTATCTGATAATATATTTAGTTGTAAAATGTAAATCTAAGGCAGTATTGGGGAAAAAAATGTTAATTTTTGGAAGAAAGCAATGGCCATTCAACTATTTTTCTTTGTGTTTTACATAATCTTTTAAGGACTTCTAAGGGCAGAAAATGTTAATATTTAAATTTGGAGGTTTTTTAATGAAAATTTTCTTAGACGTGGAGGTGGGAGTACTCCAAGGTGGAGGGGTGGATCAGATTTCTTGTTCTACTGCTCTGTACATCAGTCAGGGTATTTAAAACCATTATAATATGGGCAACATTCACAAAATTGGTACAAATGTGTAATTGTGTTTAACTTGAACAGATAATTGCTTTTAATACGAATCTATAATGTGATAGTTCCACGGTAAATTATGTATTTTGTATGTCAGAAAAACTGAAACTAAAGGTTAGAAATACTAGAATATACTAGAAAAGGTGATTTCATCTGCCCATTTTAATAATAAAATGCATAAATTTTTTGCGGTTAAAGAGCAAAGTGTTCAGTAAGCATAATGATAATATATAATTGCAAACACACGTCTTAGACTATCTGAATGAAAAAATAATGCTTAATTGCTAATGAATATCCAAAACTAACTTTATTAAGTACAGTTATTGAAGTGGTTCAGGACATCACCTTCTCCCCGCCCCATTGAACCCCAGAAGGTACCCTTTGGCATGTGGATTATTTTGAGCTGAAGGTACCTGAGACCTGCAAGCCTAAGAGAACTTTTGCCCCTCCCTCAACTACATAGAAGAATCTAAATTGAGAGTCTTTGCCCTTGATTTGGCAGAGATACATTTTATCTCAGTGACCCATCTGTATGGCAGGGCAAACATCTGATTACCAAACATCTGCTCTTACCGCTCTGTGAAACACAGTCCTTTCCTCTCAAGTCCCAGATCACTACCCCCTTCTCTTCAGTTCAGAATAACATATATACCTCATTTCGCCTGACTTTGAAATTTCCATGGTCATGTAGATACCCTGTATGTATGCCTATTACATTTGAGTTTCTCCTGTTAATCTGTTTCATGTCAATATGATTCTTAGGCCAGCTAGAAGGATCTTGGAGGAGACAGGAATTTGTGGTCCCCAACACTGTCTTGCGCTCACTTTGGCAGCACTTACACTAACAACCCTTAATCTCTCCCTTCTTCCCTAGAATTTTGTTATGCAACATTTTAGAAAAATATTCCATAATTCAGTTTTTTATTGTGACAGCCCTAATCAATGATTTATATAGAAAAGCCAGGCTCTCTATACTACAGAGAGTTCTGTTAGTATTAAAATGTGGCTAGGTACCTGGACATAAAAAACAGTTTTTTGAGTTTATGTAGTCATATAATGATAGGCATTCTCTCCTCCACCAAAGAGATAAGAGCAGGGCTTTCCTCCAAGGACTTTGGACTTCAAAGTGAACATGAGTGAGTAATCGCAGAAGACTGTTGTTATTAACTTTTCCCAAAATTTATATGGTTTGTTTCCTCTCCATAATCCTTCTGACTGTCATGATCAGAAATCTGAAGTCTCATGCAGATTTTATTGTTCTGTCCTCACATAACTTTTCATTTGCTTCATTTTGCCTGTATCTTTTTTTTTTTAAGTACTACTAATATGTTCTTTTGGGAGTTCATCAAAAGGACTTTATTTATACCTTTTTAGACATGGTATGCATGGACAGAAATATAGAATAAGTAAATTATATTTGTATACATGTGCACACATGCAGGCATATAGCCACAGCATAGCTTAAAAATTGCTTACTAAAGTAGAAATTTAAAATAATTTTGGTAATGAAATTATACATGTTGTCATAACCTCCAAATTTCCTTGTGGCTCTTAATTGCCAGCTGGGTGATACTAGCTGTGAAAATTGAATAATCTTTCTTGAGACTCAAACAGAATCCCACAATACACAAATGTGTTGGAAATCATTATTTTCTTCTATAATTCTGTATGCTAATCATCGAACCAAAGGAGCCAAAGAATGTGTCATTAATAAAATTATTTTAGAAGACGATTTCAGTAATAGGACTAAAAAAGAAATGAATAGCCAGAAACCTTAGTCGGTCTGTGTTGATGTTGAGCACAGTGCACAGTGATTAATTCTTTCATTTGGGAGAAAATATTTGCAAAACAGAGGTCTCGGGCAAATAGTTTCAAAATCAGTTATTTTAAATGCTCCTTTGCTTAGATTTTTAAATCTCATGATGTCACTTTGATCTTTATTTCTCTTCAATTACTCTTTCAATCTAAAAAATATAAAGCTGTTTGCATTCCTCAATGGTGATTACAAACACAGAGTTTATAATCTTTGACTTTGAGAATTCTTAGCATAAAATGTTTCAACTGTAATTGCTGTCAATCGCATTCACTTACTAAGCTGCTGAGTCGTTGAGGTGATACTCAGATGCCCTTTCAAAGCAGGCCTGAACTCCGGGGTCCCTCCAGAGTCGCTTTATTACCTCAGCCAGTTCAGGTGTCATGCCGCCATCTTGCAGAGTGTTGGCCATCGTGCAGAGTTGTTGTTGGTCTTCCTAGAGCAACGTTTTTGTGACAGTGATAAAAATGTATTGTTATTTGGAATCACATATCCTTTTTTTTAAATAGAGCATTTCAGTTTTATTATTTTTATCTTATTCTTTTAGGTAATAATTTTGTTGACCATTTATTGAGTGTATCTTAAGGTCAATTTCCTTCTAATGGCTGGGTGAAAGAGTTGTCCATTGCAGAAACTATTAACATTATATGGTGAAATGAGGATATTTTGGTATATATCATTAACTTCTGAATATGATGTCAAAGGGATTAATAATACTTCAAATCCATTGAGATCTCAGTCAAAATGCAAGGAGAAAATACAGTGTCTTTTACAAATGAATCCAAAACTAGGAGGTTAATTTGCCAAACCAAGAAAGACAATGAGCATCAGAAGAAGAGTCCAACTCAGACTACTTTGTGCAGTGTCAGGTGGCTCCCAGTGAAGAATGGCCAATGAGAACTTGCTGCTTTTCTGATACAATTCAATTTATTATTTTAAAGAAGTAATAATGGTTATTTCACCATCTTACTAAAAATCTGTTCTTTGCATTAAAAACGGAAAGGTGGTCTCTCATTGTCAAAGAGAGGCTCTGTTAAGACTAAAAATCTTGTTACATCTGTCTTCACATTCAGATTTTATTGCTAACCCAAATTGATCGATGACTATTAAGCCAAAAATTATAAATGGCCCAAATCGAAGGATTGACCGCATTTTCATATACTGGCACAGTAAATTTTTATGTTCTTCTTCCCGATAAGTTGGTTGTGAGAGAGGGCTGCAAATCCAGCGAAGAATGACCCAGCCAGCTTAGCTGGGATTATCCCATTTGCCTCCTCTCACTGTTAGAGTGCCATTTAGGATAAAGGATGCAATGAAACAGCTGCTTAAACTAGGTTGTCCCTGTTAGCATACCTTTACAGACAATATACACTTTCATTAAAAAATTTTTTTTCCCAATTTCAGTTTATACTTTATTTGAATAGATACTATGAAAACATTCTCATCTTGAACATGTAAGTGTCAAACTATTCTTCTACCACCACTTCAGTCCTAGTACTTCCCCCCAAAGGGCCAGTCATCCTATCAGCTTGGTTTTTGTCTTTTAGGACCTTTTATTTTTTAACTTACTGCTTGCATAGGTAAAGTCAATGGTGAGGGTTTTCAAACCAGGCTGTGGCTTATAAGCATGTGGGGGACTTACTAAAAAAATACTGACACCAGGACCTTAACCGAAACAAAATGAGGCAGAACCTCTGGGATTCAGGTTCTGCAAAGGTATTTTTGAAAATCTTCCGGTGACTCAAATGTGAAGCCTGAGTTGAGAATCCTGGCAATATAGGGTTTCTTTAACCATAAATAATATCTTACTGGACATACTGTATGTTAATTCATAAAGTTCTTCTATAGTTATTAAAGGACTGACATGGTAATTTAAAGAATCAAAATTCATGTATTTTAAGGAATTGGGCTCCCCAATCACATTTGAATTTTTAAAGTATATAATACCAAAATTAACCAGTATTACAAAAAGTTGTCTTCTATATAAACAGCCAAATGATGGAAAACTGACTCCTACTGACAATCTTACTCATATTTTAAAAGCTCCAGTAATTTCCCATCACACTCAAAACCCAAAATCCCACGGCATGGCTCACAAGGTTCTACCTGTTTTAACCCATGTATTCCTTTTCAGCTTTCTTTCTCAGTCTCTGTCTCTCAGTCTCTCCCTCTCCATCTTTCCCTCCCCCCACAATTTGTCTCTCTTTCCTCAAGGTGCATTAGACTTCTTACTGTTCCTTCAACTTACAAAACCCCCATTTGAGAACATTTGAATGGCTGTTCCTCCATGTCTTCCCTATGGCCCATCTCCAACATCATTAGGTTTTTCCCAAAATATCACCCGCTCAAGAATTCCTTCCAGGGCCACCCTTACTTCCATTTTTTCCTTACTCTCCAGTCCCCTGCCTTCCTTGATTTTTCTTCATAGCACTTACTACTACCTATGTAGTGCATATGTCTTTATTTTGTATCTTTTAAATTCGATTATAAGCACATGAAGGCAGTGACTTTTTTTTTGTTCTGTTTATTTCTACATCCTTAAGACTGAGAGCAGAACCTAATACATTGTATGTCTCAAAAATATTGTAGAACAAATGAGTCAACAAAGTGAACACACTGATTAGCTCAGACCTCAGTTTCTAAAGAAACTTAAAAGGTTCTCCAATAACTTCTCACATTTTTCAAATAGCTCCAAAGAAGTTCGAGTGGCACTGTGAAGAGATTTTAGTTCCTTGTGATATATTTAGGAAAGCTTGGGAATTATGGTGGCTCTGGAATAGTTCATTCTCTCAAGGTTGTGTAGATCTGGAACAGTGTTGTATAGAAAGCAAAATACATGTTCTCTACAAGTTACCCAGGGTTTCCTCATCAATATTAGGTGGTGGTGATCCTAGAACCCTGCAGAACTCATTTTAAACCTTTGAGTCATATTTCGAAAAATTGCAGAAACAATATATCAAGGAAGGAAAAGGATATCACAACCTTGTAATCTTGGGAAATGTCAGGTTAAGAAATGCCCGGTTTTGTTACTACAGGACTTTCTCAGGGCCTTTGAGTCCTGCAATTTGCCAATTTCCAAGAAGTTATTATAATATATGCTTTCAAACTTACTTGATCACAGAACTTTTATCCTAGAACATCTTGTGAAATCAGTGTTCATTGGTTCATATTATGGGTTTCACTTTGTAGAACACTGTCTCAAGGATGGTCACAACAACACTCAAATCATGTGATAAAGTGTTAAAACTTTCAACATTTTTTTAAGTTGGTAGTAGATGTTTTAGATGCTCTAAGACAGAATAATATCCGGAGAGGATAAGTTGAAATTTACTAAATGCCTATATTATGTCCGCCTCTAGTTTCTTTAACTTTCCCCTTTACAAGTTGTGTATTTATGAAATTAGTCTGTCAAGTATTAAACCAAAACAAGAACATGTTCTGTTAGCTTCATTCCTCTTTCAGCTATAAGTTCGCTTTCTCTCTCTCCTACTCCTCAGCTATAGTTGCTAAAAACATCTTTATACTCTGTTCCCATATTTTCTTCTCATTTCTCAACATACTTTATTGGATTCTGCATCCACAACTCTTCTAAAACCCATCTCATGATATCCCCAGTGATCTCTGTATTATTAAATCCAGTAGACTTTAAATATACTTCTTTCCTGACCTCTTAAGACCTTTCATCTTAGATAACTTCCCTCTGGAACCCTTGTATTGAATTCTGTGATTCGATAGAAACTTGGTTTTCCTCTTACTTTCCCATCATTTCCTCCAAACTTCCCTGTTCCTCCTAAATGACCAGAAAATGTTACTTTCTTTTTTGAAGCTTTTATTTATTTATTTGAGAGTGAGCAAGAGAGAAAAGGAGCAGGGGAGGGGGAGAGCGAGAGGCAGATTCCCCACTGAGCAGGGAGCCTGAAGGGGGCTTGATGCCTGTGACTGAGCCACCCGGTGCCCTGAAAATGTTACTTTTTCAGCACAGGCACCTAACTTGCCACTGTCCTTTATACCTGTATCTTCTCTTTGTAAATATTTGACCTCCTTGATCCCATCCATATCCTAATACACATTATACACCATAGTGTAATGCCAATACTACTGAGATTCCGATCTCTTATCAAATTATCTCGTTTGGACTTGAAATATACATTTTCAACCACTTACACATGTGGACATGTTACAGAGCTTACAGACACATTTCTTAAATGTACTAGTTGTGCCCCCTCCCCAGTGACAGACTTCCTTTTTCAGTAATTCTTTTCATAAATGAGGAATTGGCTCTCCATCCAACTGTGCTGCACTTTTGAAATAGCTGATGCTTTGTAATTACTTGTTCAGTGACAGATTTCCTTCTCTTGAGGGAAGATATTTCTCCTATTTTATTTACTGCTGATTCCTCAGTACATCCCGTGTCAAGTGTCTGCCATATAAATCATAGTTTAATGAAATATAATTTTTTTAGGGGCACCTGGGTAGCTCAGTGGGTTAAGCATCTGCCTTCAGGTTAGGTCATGATCCTGGAGTCCCAGGATCAAGCCCTGCATTAGGCTCCTGATCAGGGGGGAGTCTGCTTCTCCCTCTGCCCCTTACCTCCCTGGTATTCTCTCTCTCTTTCTCTCTCTCATTCTGTCTCTCTCTCAAATAAATAAATAAAATCTTAAAAAAATATATAATTTTTTCAGATGGTGTTAGATGTGTAGACTTTAATATATAAATTTTAATGAGCTTATACTTAGAGTGATTACTGGAAAATAAATACTCAGTATTTACTAGAATCTTAAAGTATTTTGTTTTTAAGTGGATTTCCTATATTTCTGTTTGCTTCTGTAATAGTCCTTGAAACTCAGTGAAAAAAGCACTAACGTTTTGTGGATAAAGAGACCCAAATGTAGAGAGATTAAGTAATTCGTCCAAATTTACAGAACCAGTAACCAATAAAGCTTATGGACATTTTCCTTTAGGACTGTAATATAAAAATACATAAATTGTATAAATAGCTAAATTGAAAGCTATAGAAAAATAGAACTCTGAAAGCCACACACATATAGATGTTTAGCAGGGTTATAGTTCAAGCCAGGGTTAAGAGTATATTAATCTTAAAATCAAATACTAAAGAAGGTCACTGAAACTACTATAGTTTACAACAACTGAAATCAAAATTGGGGGTATGTAGTACCTGACAGCTGATGTTTGACCCTTGAGGGTATAGGTCCTTCTGAGAAGTTGTATCAGTCCTTCAGTGCTGCATAAATTGCTCTGTTTTTACCATTTAATGTACAGTTTAATAAATTGCATTTACTTAAAGTTTCATTCAGCATAGTGGCAGCAATCTACAGAGTCTATATTATTATCACTCTGCATGCATGCCAGATCATTAAGATGTTAACCAGTGGAGGAGTAGCAAACATTTTGGATTGTTGAAAGTATTTTTACAAAAATCCTTGCATCAGGAAAAGCATTCCAATGGAAGCCAGAAGAGGTGGGTTTTGCCCAAAACACTAGCTGTGCAATGCAGGCTACCTTGCTAATAGTCTTTGGCCTTTATTTTTCACATCCTTAAATATGGGGCTTATACCAGGTTGTTTCTGAAGGGCCAATTTAAAGTCTCAGATCCTTAGGAACAGCCAAGGTCAGAGGGTTAACCAAACTACGCTTAAATTAAAAAGGAGATCACCAAGTCTAGGAATGGTAAAGAATACAAGGATATTGGAGTTGGGTTCTGGCAAGTTCCCCTCTTACATGTGAGAGGGGAACTGTAACCTAAAGAAGGCGGTGACTTACTGGAGCCAGGTTTGAGGAAAACTAAAAATGGAAGAGGAAAGCTAGCCCAATTCCTGACTGTGCTTTACAAAGCATCTGCCCTAAAGACATACTTAGAATTGCTGTGCTCTTCGTTGGAAAATGGCAGAACAAGATGAGGGTTGACCATTAATTTTTTTTTTTTTAAATTAACAGCATGAAAGAGGTATTTTTCTTTTCATCCTAATGGCATCCAATGGTAATTTACATAGTCAAACCCTAAACTTCTGGAAGGGGAGGAAGAGTAAAGTACAAGGGTCATATTCTTCTCTATAATTAACATGTTCTTCCTCTCTTTCTTACTGTTAGCGGACAGGGTATCTAAGTTTACACTGGTTGCAGCTCAGTGGATACCATCTGGAGGCAACCAGCTGCTCGAGGACAGAACAAATGGAAATGAGTGTTTTCCTGTTGATCATGCACTCTTATTCCTTTTTTGCATGTGGTTAACTATTGTTCTTTGGAGAATGCTCTGTGTTCCATTTGTCAACTAAAATAGTTCTATATATTTGCACATAAACTGTTTGAAACGAAGTGGGTTTTTAATGTATTTTAACATAAAATGATTATTACAAAATATAAAATAGAATGAAATGAAACTGTTTAGAAGCTACCTAATGAACATGACTGACTACTGAATGTATTTATTATACAGACATCTTAATCACACAATTTTGAATTCTTTTTTAAAAAATTAGCACTCTAAAATAGTCATTTCCCTGCCCAGCATTGTCTTTATAGTTATTGTTGAACAATAATAATTATGTTATTACTATTACTATAATGTTATAATGTTCACTCCATGAAATGACTCACAATTAAACTAAGAAAATAAAAATGGAGTTATTGCAGTTTGATTTTATAGAATGAACTCTTTCGTATTTAGTAAATATCATTTTTCTCTAATACAGTATATTATTTGATATTAGGTTTGATTCCTAGGAAAATAGTTAATGCCAAATAAGATTATGGCACATAGAAAGTTTCATTTAAAGAAAAAAATCTTACACCAAACAGAATTAAAGTTTCCAAAATTCATATTTTATGCTCTTAAATTTTTGGTGTAAACTAGTACTACAAATTTAGTTCTACTGTTTTATGGCTCAAACTCCATTGGAGACCTACAACTGTCATTATTTGTATACTTACTGCACTTGTGGGATTTACATAATCAATCTCAAGGGTAGTCATGGCTTTCACAATCGCTAGGATGGATTGCAGTGTGTTACTGTAAATGACTGCTTTGAACTCCATGCATTCTTCCTCACTGTAACCATTCTTATGGATGATCCTGTAATTTAAACATGAAAAGCTTTTGTGAATTGAGCAGTTGGGTTTTTTTAAGTAATATTAAAACACATCAACAATAATTTGCTTGAATAAAATTACAGTATATATTTGTTACAAAAAATATTACCCATATGTATATGTTAAATCTGAACAACTTTATGGCTTTGGATTTTATTATTATCCTTGAGATTTAATACAATATTTTCTTTCTGGGCTCCTCATGCTAAATATAAAGAGGACGTAGAATTTGCCCTGGTAAACCAGTCTTTAAAATGAGTAAATCATGAGGAATTTTATTTAGAAAGCTTATTTATTTCAAAAGAAAAATTTCCAGATTCACAGGACAAAGAAATATACAGAGTTCTGAAACTAGTCTTTCTAACATAATGTTGATGTCTAGAGGAAGCAAAGTAATTTACTAGAACATTCATTTCTTTTCCTATCGCTTAAGACACACTGGAAAATACAAGTGCCTGCTTTCTATTTATAGCATTAACAAAGGCATCTCTCTTTTTTTTTTTAAATGTAGGCAGTTAAATGTAGGCTGTTAAATCCCTTGTTCCTTTTCCATCTGTGTACGTGCCATTAGTTCTCAAAGTTGAAAGGCTTATGTTACTTGGTTGAACTCCCTTCCACTCACTCAATCAGAACTCAGTGTTTTATAGTTTTAGAATAATAGATTAAAATAGATTTACCTTCAAAAGCTAAAATCTCTGCATATTCTAGTTATTTTATTGTGTCTTTATTGGATAATACGTTCTTGCTCCTTTTTGTTGTTGTTTTTGAAGTGCTATCTGTAGGCATCATTTTGGAAGTCATATTCTGAAGTATTTGTGTTTTACAAGTATTCACGGGGAGGCTTTAGCATAGGGAAAAGAATACAAATGCCCCCCAAGATATTAAAACTTTTAAATACAAGAATTTTTGCAGCCAAAGGAGAGGTAGCCCTTATATCCATTATTGACTGTTTTTGATAATTTGCTTGCCAGTAATTGCTGTATTTCTATTTTAAGCATGGCCATGTTTATCTTGCTGTATTAAACAAATAACTTTAATGAGTAAATAAAGCAGACAACTAAAGGTTGTAGAAAAATGCAGTTAAAATATCTTTGTGGATAGATCAAGAATAAGTTCATTAAAGAAATCTCAGTTCTTTCTCAAAAACTGAAATTGGGAAGTTATTTTAGTTACTAAATTAAAACAGCAGTTAACAGTAAACTTGGGGCATTTAGGATTTCTTTCTGGAACAAGTTCTGATTCCTATCTTTTCATCATAGGATAATGAAACTTCACAAAGCAAAATGGCAAAAGCATACTTTAAAAAAATCCAGCTGTAGTAGGACTTTAAGCAACCTTGTTTTTCTGGGGACTGCATAAATACATTTCTGTGAGATAGAGCTTTGTACTTGAAGTTGATTCCTAAATCTGTTCCAATTAATGAGCTTTTACTGGGCATTTTCTGTAACATAGGGTATTATGTGCTGAAAAGAATGAGTTTTACTCTCTCTCCTCCCCAAAAACCTATAGGCAGAGCTCTACTGTCCAATATAGTAGCCACCAGCTGTTAATTAAAATTAAATTCCTCATTCACACCAGCCACATTTCAAATGCTTAATGGCCTCATATGACTTGGAGCTGCCATATTGGAGAGCACAGAAAGAGAATCTCCCTGTCACCATAGAATGTTCTATTGGACAGTGGTAGATTACAGAAAGGTAGAGCATAAAATCCATTTCTGTGCAGTGTGATAGTATTTAGCAACAATGTCTGCATGTGGTCCAATAAAAGTGAAAAGAAAAAGTGATAAACTTTATTGGGAGTAGGTGTAAGGAATCACGAGAGACTGCCTGGGAGCAATGATGATCCCCTGAGTTTTCAAGGAGAAGTCGTTATTTCCAGATAGTGAACAGGAAGAACATTCTAGGCAGGAGGATCAGTTATGACCAAATAAGATAGTTAAGTGATCAAGCTTTCAGTGTGTGCCAAGGCCTGTGTTAAGTGCTTATATATCTTCTCATTTCTTGCAGTAAGTCCTTTAAAGAAGGTAAAATTATTACCTACATTTTACAGGGAAGAAATGGAGGCACAGATAAATGAAGGAACTACCCCTAACTTATTCATTCAGTACGTGATACAGTTGGGCAACGAACGCACTCCGATTGGGGAGCCTGTGATCTTAGGCGCTAAACTGTCCTGTCTTTTGTAGTCCGCAGAACTATGTGAGTTCAGGATTTCTGGGTGTAGAAAGCAGGAAGGGGGAAGTCATGGGACCTGAGAATGAAGAGAGAGATAAGAGCTGGATTCTAAAGTGCCTTGTGCTTCCTTCAAGGAGTCTGTTCTTGACAGTTCATGAAGTGTACAGTTCAGGAAAGAGATAAGTTTTCTTTTTAAAGAAATCCGTTGATGTCATTGTGGATACTGCAGTGGAAGAAAGAAGAGGGAGGGAAAAAGTGTTTTGCAGGATATTGTATTAATCCAGCTCAGGAATTTGAGGTTTTTAAGCTAAGGCAGCGACAATAGGGATAAGTGACACCCTTGAAGACAAAAGTTGTTTAGATGTGGCAAAACTGAGAAAGTGAATGTCAGCATATCTACACCCGGATTAATTGCTTTAGAGGCTGCAGCTGCTGTAATTCATTGTAGGGACATGGAGGCCAGATGGGGAGATAACTTAGCATTGTTTATTCTGATTTGGACCTATCCATAGAATATGGAGGTAGATGTACCTGCTTCCCTAATTTAGATAGAGTGAATGTGAAAGAAATAATCTGGGACAGTCTGCTTGAAGATGAGAGGGAAAATCATTGTACCTTAGCAGTTTTCATTTGAACCTATAGAGTAAGCGAAGAAGGGGGCTAAGTACATTAGAGACACCAGCAGTTAGGTGGAATCTGAGAGTCAAGCAGGCAATTAGGACATAAACTAGGAGTTATTCCAAAAGTCAGGGTGATGTTTTAGAAGAGAAAAGTCCAGTGGAGTCGAATGGAATTCAAATAGGAACTCATGAGCATTTCAGACAAAATGGCAATTGGAGATAATATTGATGCTATTAAGGGCAATTGATGTGGCAAGCCAAAGGCAGCAGTGATGAGAATCGTTTAAGGGTAAATGGAAGGTGGAAGAGTGAAGAGAGTTAAGGCAGACTAGTCTTCATAGAGTCAACTGAAGAAAGGAAGGAAGGAGGAGGTAACGAGGAGACTCCCTTAATAACAGAAGCAGTGCTTGCTCCTTGTAGAAAATGTGAAAAGCCCAGCAGTATTCATAATGAAGGTGCAATGTAACTTTAAATCCCAATGTTGAGAAATAACTATCATTGAATATTGGCCTGTATTATTCCTTTTAAATAACTGTATTTTGTCATAGTTGAGGTAAAATGTTCATGCAGTTTTGGGTCTTAGTTTTTCAGCTAGTGTGAGTATTTTCTATTACAACTTTCTCATGTACGTGCAACTTGTAATGGATGCAAAATATTGCAGTTGAAAACTGACTGGTCCTACACTTTTGCAAACTATTTCCTTGTGTTTTTTTTTTATTTAATTTAGGGCACTTTAATCTCTCTCTTATTTCTCTATTTTAAATAAGACTAATTTAAACCTCTTGGTGCATAAACATTTGTATTTTCATGTTTACGTCATTTTACTTTTGTGCTTTTTCAAATTTAAATTATTTTACTAGAATTCTCAGAGACCTATTTATATCAGAAGTTATTATTTTCCCAGGTTTCTAGTTTGATTGAAAAATTATTTCTACAGATTTGCTATAATAAGTAATTTTATTAGTAGTAATGAGAAATATTAAGTTCTCAAAACCTCACCCTTATTGGGTAATATTATTTAAAGTTGTTTGCTAATATGGTTTCACTTATTTGTGGAGCATAACAAATAACATGGAGGACATAGGGAGATGGAGAGGAGAAGGGAGTTGAGGGAAATTGGAAGGGGAGGTGAACTGTGAGAGACTGTGGACTCTGAAAAACAACCTGAGGGTTTTGAAGGGGCAGGGGGTGGGAGGTTGGGGGAGCCAGGTGGTGGGTATTAGGGAGGGCACGTATTGCATGGAGCACTGGGTGTGGTGAAAAAACAATGAATTCTGTTACGCTGAAAAGAAATTAAAAAAAATTAAAATTAAAAAAAAATGCTAATTTACTAAGATGAAGAATAGCTCATTATTGCTTTATTTATTTGTTTATTTGACAGAGAGAGAGAGAGAGAGAGAATACAAGTAGGCAAGAGAGGCAGGCAGAGAGAGAGGGGGAAGCAGGCTCCCCACTGAGCAGAGAGCCAGATGCGGGGCTCGATCCCAGGACCCTGATATCATGATCTGGGCCTAAGGCAGAGGCTTAACCCACTGAGCCACCCAGGTGCCCCTCGTTATATTGCTTTAAATAGATATTTGAATTTTGTCTTGTGTGAACTGTCTGTTCATAGTCTCTTCCCATTTATATATATTGGGCAGCTTAATTTTCTTAGCAGCCTGTGTGACTCTTTTTATATTATGACAGTCGGTTACTTATCATATTTATTATAGTTTTTTTTTCTAGTTCTCTTTTTAAATTTTATTATGGTTTGATATATTTAAAGGGTTTAATTTTTAGATAGTCAAATAACTGGTTATTTTTTGCTTTACTGCATTTAACTTCATAGAGAATGGAGAGGTAAATAGGAGAGGAGGAACTCCAGCATGATTAGAACTGAAAGAAAAGAACAGGTGAACACAGTGGGAGTTTGATGGGGGTGTGAGATGATTTGCGTGAATGGTTGGAGCAGTCTAAACAATGATCAGGAGAGACGAGTGTCCTGTTCTTTAAAGACAGAAGAAAAGGTAAAAAATTTGGTTGCAAGTACATGTGTCAGGAAATTCCAAAAGTGGGACTTAAATAATTGTTGGTATGGAACTTACATGACCTTATTACCTGAAAGGAAAGAAAAAAACTAGTGATTTAGATTCTAAATAGACAATCATATCATTGACTGGGATGGAACCCTCATGTGACATATTCCAAAGGACAAGATCCTCCAACACGGAACAAAAAATAAGCCAAAAAAAAAGGACTCTCTTCTTCTCCTATGGCAAGAGCTGTCCTTCAGAATTCTCCAGCAGTGATGGAGCCATCACTTAAAAGGCTTTACATCACTTAAAGGGCTTTACATAATCCCTTCCACTTACCAATGTAAATTTTATTCACTTAGACATTATATTCTTGAATTTTAGAGTTTTTGTGTTTGTTTTCTCATTAAGAAATCCGCGTCTATTTATTTCATTATACAAAGAAAAAAAAATAGAGAAAAGAAGTACAAAGATAAATTGAAATCCGTGTTAGTAATAACTTTAAATAAGCACTTTATTCCCAGGCAGGCAAAAATTTGTCAATTAGGTTTAAAATACCATTTCCTCCTGAATTCAAATGGGTCATTGATGGACATATTTTGAAATGTTGATGGCTTTTACCCACAATACCGAAGCCCTAGATTATGCCCAGATGAATATATTTAAAACATGACTGCTTAGAGTATCCATCTTGTTGAGAGGCAAAATTTAAAAGAAAAATGGAAATCACAATATCACACATCAGTTACGCTCCCTGCAAAAGGATAGGAGAGAGGCTCACCCGGCAAATGAGACAGCTCTGCCAGTAAATACATGTACAGACCATCTGTCAGATTTTCCCAAAGTATTTCTTTTCAGACTGGTCAAGTACACAGACAGCCTTCAAATATCAAACATATAAAATAGTTTATACCTACTTCATTTGTTTAACGATTGTACTTTTTCCAGATTCTCCTGCACCTGAAACGAAAAGAGGGGAGTGTTATCAATGGCTACACTAAATTCCCATAGATACTAAAACCTGGGGTTGTCATTTTCTCATGGGTAAATCTTGACCAGATAGCGCTCCTATATAAAGAAGGAAAATAATCTCTGTCAAGTCTTGAAAGGTATTAGCTGCCTACTTTCCATGACAGCAGAAGAAAATAAAACCTCTCTATATTGATGTTAAATCCAGCTATAGGTCTGGCTTCAAGGTAAAGGGTGTCTTCTAAAACAAGAAATGTATATTCTCAGGGAAATAAAATTATTGCATTTGAACATAATTTGGAAAGGTCTATCCCTTGTGTTTGCACCCCAAGAAAAGTGGTCCCAACTTTGCAGTCTCTAGAAAATGTCTCCCAGAATGTCTCCTCATATATCATGTTTGATTAAATAGCAGTAAAGAAAGAACACCAGATGATTGTCTTTTATTTCCAGAACTGTTTGAAGCCTATCCTAATTGAAGAATGGACTTTTGTCTTTATTATTGTGTTTATCTTCATACATAGGTGTATTCTGCTTAAATAAAGGAAAGTTAATAACACTAAGCAAACCTAAAGAGCCTGCAGATAACAATGATGTAGGAGTATCTGAAAATGGATTACACACACCATGGGAAGGAACAGGGGTGGCAGTGATAACATAGAGAACCAGTAGCATTTACCCAGAACATTTATTTTAGTTGATGATATACAATATACAACTTTATTTTGGTATGTTTGGCAAACGTTGTATAAAGAGATGCGAAAATCACGTGATTTTTTAAAAAGATTTTATTTATTAGAGAATGAGCAGGGGGAAGGGGCAGAGGGGGAAGGAGAAGCAAACTTCCTGCTGAGCAGGGAGCCTGATGCAGGGGTAGATCCCAGGAAACCAGAATCATGACCTGAGCCAAAGGCAGCTGTAACCAAATGAACTACCCAGGTACCCCAAAATTCACATGATTTTTAAAATATAAAGGGAAACTTTGAGGAAAAAATTTGATTATGTCCAGCTATGTCTTAAGGCCTTTAGAGCATATTTCTGGAGTGTCCTTTGCCATTAATATGAGTGTTGACTTGGGAAACGGTACTCAAGAAGTACTGAAATGAAGTGACCTAAGTTTGAGGGTTTGGCTCTGTCCCCATGTGTGCACACATGTGTATTTGTGTGTAGCTGCGATAGCTTTGGTAAATTCGTTAGCGCCTTAATTTCCTTACCTATAAGCTAAGAAATTTACCTCACAAGATTTATTAGAAGACTGTAATGACACAATAAGCATGAACTTATCTGCTAACTACCATGCAAAATAAAACAGAGCAATGTACTTAAGAATCCAAGAATGAAAGAAATTCTGTGGTGTTTGGTAAAGAGAAGAGTGTCAAGATACCCTACATGTACCAGATGAATGATGCTGGAGCAACTGTGTGTCCATGTGGCAAAACAACACTGACTTTTATATGACAATAGGCCAAAATTAATTGAATTGATTCATAAACATGTATGTGTTTTTGTATATAATGAAACTCTTAAAAGTTCTAGAGCAATATGTAGATGAAAAAATCTTTTCAAACTTGAAGTAGTCAAAATGTCCTTAGATAAGACATTGAAAAAAACCCCAAAACAACAAAAAGTTGAAAATTGATAAATTGGATTTGATCATTGTTAAAAATATTTGCTCTCCAAAAGACAGTATCAAGAAAATGAGATGGCAAACCACTAACTAGGAGGAAACATTCACAGCATATATGTCAGGCGAAGGACAGGTGCCCAGTTTTATAAAAATTATTGTAAATTCATAATGAGAAGACCTAAAAATCCAATAAAAATTAGGAAAAAACCTGAACTGACGTTTCTCAAAAAAAGATATATGACGAATAATCTTATGAAAAGATGCCCAATATCACTAGTAATCAAGGAAGTACAAATGGCACCATAAAGAGATGGCATTACATATCCAGTAAATTTGGGTAAAATTTAAAAGATTCACAATACCAAGTACCGACAAGGACGTGGAGCAACTGGAAGGGTCTTAAAACTGCTGATAGAAAACCACATAGTATAGCCACTTCGGAATACAGCCGGCAACTCCTAAGATGTTAAACGTAAACCTGTCGTATGATCCAGTCATTGCACTCTTAGGCATTTACTCCAAATAAATGAAAATATACATCCTCACAGGGATTTGGACATGAATGTCCATAACAACTTTGTTTGATAACCCTAGAGCAGTAATACCCAAATGTCCGTTAATGGGGATGATGAACAAAATGTAGCCCATCTTTATAATGAAATGCTACAAGCAGTGAAAAGGAACACACTATTGGCTCATGCAACAACATAAATAAACTTAAAATAGTTACGCTGAGGGAAAGAAGACAAAAAGTTTATTTACCTCATATAGTCCCTAGTATATTTGTTTCACTTATATAAAACTCTAGAGAGTAAAACCAAAGCATAGTGAGAATGCAGACTAGTTCTTCCTGCTCGTGGGAGAGGAGAAGGGCAAGGTTTGTAAAGTCATGTGATGAAAATGTTACGCATCTTTAATTATGGTAATAATGTCATGGGTGTGTATGTCTATAAAAACTCCACAAGTTGTACCCTTTCCGTATTTGTAATTTATTATATGTAGATTTTATCTCAATAATCTTGTTTAAAAAACAAACACCATCACCAACTTAGAACATTAACATTGTAGGTCATTATCCATTTCACCAATTTTTAAGGTCTAATAGTACCATAATATCATTAATATGTGTGTGCTTTATAAAGTAGGATATTATGTTTTTATAGTTCTATTTTAAACAGTAGGGTGAATGCAGGCAGTGGGACTCAAGACTGTTTTATATAAGAGTGTTGATTAAAATGATGACTAATGTGAGGATGGCTGCCATATGAAGAGTCTAAAAATGGATATGACTCCTGAGAGAAAATGATGGGAGAATTTAGTTAAAATTACTGCAATATGTAGGGCATATTGTATGGAGTATAAATGGGATATAAAGACATGCTTTTTAGCGTACTTATGTGATAAATATCTATTTATCTTTAGTGCATTTATCTGTGGGATAAATATGTATTTATCTTTATGTGAAGGAGGAGGTAGGGAAGGAGCAACCACTTGAACTTTGAATGTTCTGATTTTATAGATAGGAGAAAACCAGAGTCAGCATGAGTTGGCAAAGCCTGATAATACAGATTTGTTCATAAAATTATTAAGATACAATCACCTATAAATCTGGAAGGTATTGGGGGAAATTCAGTATTTTGTAATTGATATGAAATTGTATTTTTTTAGAATGTATCCTTGGGTTACAACTAACCCTTATCCATGCAAATATGATGTTAAAATATGGTATTGACCAAAGACCTGAACTAAAATACCAAAGAGTCGAATATTTTGGTCTTCTTATCCTAATTTCTGTATCTTTAAGAGAAGCAAGGGGCATCATAGGTTACTGGCATCTCCAAAAACTGGGTCATGGGACATCTTCGAAGTCTCAACGTGCCTGTTAATTTTGGACAGATTTCAAAGTAGCATAGCTAAGGCAGTTTTAAAATTTCCCAGGAAAAATCAAAATGCAGGAAAAGTAATAAACGTATATCCCTTACCAGCATGGTAGTCAACTGCCTTGTTTTACCTCTATTTTTATGTAAGCAAAAGTAGTATGACTTTCTGTAACCCTCAATCTCAGAATTTTATTTAAATTTATATCAAGATATGTATTAAATTGGAGGACCCTGACTACCCTGTTTCAGTTTTTAACTTCCACTATCATCCACTTTATTCTGTTTTCCTTACTCTGCTTTTTCCTATCACTTACCTTATTCTACGAACTTACAAATTACTCACATGCTGTTTTTAATTTTTCTTATCTGTCTTCCAATGCTGTGAGGTCAACTGCACGAGGGCGGGGGTCTTTGTTTTGTTCCCTGATGGATCTAAAGCACCTAGAAGAGTGCCTAATCGTAGAATTTAAATGGAATAAATGAATTCTGTAAATTCATAGTTCGGAAATAAAATTTTGCCCTGTGTCTTGTATATTTTTCACATTGCAACATTTCTGTCTGATTGGCACTATTTTCTTAAGCTGTAGTGACACCTAAATTTAATTCTACTTCACAGCGAATTTGTATTGTCTCAGCCTATCTAACTGTATCTAGTTTTATCTGAAACAGCTGCTCACCTTATATAGTAAGGGTATCAGTGGCAAAGTTATGGGAAATGGAATTTTATTGCCTGGTGGGGATAAATGGGTACCTCTTGGGGAAGCCTCCAGCATACTTCTCCTTATGGCTTTATATTGGTGTGGTTCACACCACACAGCGTAAAATTTGATAAATGCAAAATCAATGACATGAATTTGCTAATATTTCTTTGTAGACTTTCTAAAATGTAATCAAACATGAACTGACAGATGGGGCAAAACCATCTCATTTACTAGAAACTGCTATGTCCAAGAGTAGAATTTTTGAGGATCAAATAAAAATCACATTAAAATATCATCTCTTGGGGGCACCTGGGTGGCTTAGTGGGTTAAAACCTCTGCCTTCAGCTCAGGTCATGATCCCAGGGTCCTGGGATCCAGCCCGACATCGGGCTCTCTGCTCAACAGGAAGTCTGCTGCCCTCCTCTCTCTCTCTGCCTGCCTCTCTGCCTACTTGTGATCTCTGTCAAATAAATAAATAAAATCTTAAAAAAAAAATCACCTCTTGGGGGCGCCTGGGTGGCTCAGTAGGTTAAAGCCTCTGCCTTCAGCTCAGGTCATGATCCCAAGATCCTGGGATCGAGCCCCAAATCGGGCTCTCTGTTCAGCAGGGAGTCTGCTTCCCTTCCTCTCACTTTACCTGCCTCTCTGCCTACTTGTGATTTCTGTCTGTCAAATTAATTAATTAATTAATCTTTAAAAAAAAAAATCACCTCTTGTGGCGCCTGGGTGGCTCAGTGGGTTAAGCCTCTGCCTTCAGCTCAGGTAATGATCTCAGGGTCCTAGGAT